AACTATGACGGCCAATCCAGTAATTCAACATTATTTTCTTATTTCCACACGGTACAAAGCCGACTTTGATGTTTAGGATCATTCTCCTCTTGTAGTATCCATTTTTCGTTTTTCTTTATAAACCATGTTTGAGCAGATAGTAATAAAGCCTTCTCATAAATTTTGACCATTTTGCTAGCGTTTAAGTGGTTTGTGAAGATATGCAAAGTGCCAAATCGTGTAGAGCCACGTTTCGGTAAGTCATCGACATTTTTCACCTAGCGACCCATTTATTTAGAAGTGCTTTTGACTTTCTCATGTACTTATCAGCCGCTTGGCGTCACATTTTTGGTCCTTTCGGATGTGTACAAAGAAATACGACTTCGAAATGCGATATATATTTGGCACTCATGGCGAAATATATATTTTTATCACGAAGATCGAATGACAACTAAAGCTTTATCAATAAAACATCTTAGGCGAAGGGTGCCTCTACCGATTTGAATTTTCCGTCTACCCGTTTATATGTAAAAGTTTTGCCAGACACGCTCTTATCAAACAGACTATATAATACCTAGGTCTCGGATTCGCAACGTTTCCCATTGTCTGAACGTGTCAAACAATATAAAGAAATAGAATTCTTTCGGTAAAAGGTCTGTTTCTTTCTAACAAAGTCTGCTTTATTCCCGTCACAAGACTACAATAAGTGATGGGAATAAAACAGCCTTCGTTAGAAAAAGACAGACTTTTTACCAAAAGAATGCTATTTCTTTATATTGTTTGACGCGTACAGACATTGGAAAAACCCGCGGCCTAGGTATTAGACATTTATTGTTCCCTCCCAGCATAAGATTATGAGCCACGAGGTTATTAATTATTATGTAATATTTAATTTAAAAAATTTCTTTATTAATAAAAACATGAAAGATATCATGTTTTACACTTATATTGTCCTCCAAACATACTATTGCAACTTTTATAGCCTTTTTATAGTCCATACATAATTTGTTGTAATTTAAACAATAAATGCAATAACTATTTATTTTTATTTTTTAGTCATCAAACAATTTATCTAATTGTTTAAATGAGATATAAGATGACATATAAGATGACTATAAGATCTCAAACGATGTAGGAAGAAAAAAGAAAAGTTTTTAGAGCGATTTTTGTGAAAAACATGCTTTGAAAACCATATTGATAACGTAGACAGTTTAATACAAAAGTATTCCAATGTTTACGACCCGGGGGCACGGATTCTCGTTATCCGATCGAGCAAAAGTTTGGCAGGGATTTCTTTTTTGTCAAATGGAAATTTTTTGAAGGGTGTCGCAGAAAAAATTTGAAAGTTGAAACCACCACCTTACCACCCTTACCACCCTACACACACACACACACACACACACACACACACACACACACACACACACACACACACACACACAC